TGGTGCATCCACACTACTGAGCGTAAAAGTGGTAAGTAGAGACGTAGGTACGTGAGAGAAAGAAAGAGAGAGAGAGAGATAGAGGGGATAACGGCGGTGCAAGAAGGTGGAGGAGGGTAGGTAGGCGACCGAGGGGATTGGCGAGGGTGAGATTCGACAGACAGACCGTGGACAGGGACAGGGCTGAGGGCAGGGGTAAGGGCTGTGGCTGGGGCCGGATAGTCGGACCTGACTGAGGGAGAAAGAGAGAGAGAGAACGATCGCGCCCTCACGGGATGGATGGTGGTGGTGGTGCCGGTGGGGCTGGTAGGGGCTGGAGGACTCCGGGACAGTAGTGTGGAGGGGACCTCGCACGGAGAGGGATGAAGAAGAGGGAAGAGAGGAGCGAGCGGAGGGACGGAGGTCGAGAGTCGAGGGCTGCCTCACTCTGCGGCTCCCGCCGCTCGGGAGCAGACACGCGGGGCCAAAAGACTAATTTGAACTATTTTGTTAACAAAAACAAAAAAAAACATTACATATTTGTAAATAACACTACTAACAACTGTAAACACGAAACAGCAACAACACATTTCTCCTAAGGACTCTCTTTAAATCTTACCTTACACCCGTAAGACAACCGCCTGTAAAAAGAAAGAAGGGATAAGGAAGGAAGGAAGATACGAAGTGAAAAAAAGCGCGCGCGGACGGAGAAAGAGGTAGAGAGAAGGAGAGTGAAAGAGAGATAGCGGGTGAGAATAGAAGGGAAGAGTGGGACGTACGACGAGGTAACTCCGATTTTGTTTTCAAAGTAGACGTGTAATACATGCGCGTACACACAAGCAATACACAGTAAAGAAGAAACAAGTTACGAAAAGAGTCGAACCATAGGAAAATCGTCTATTTTCTGAAGTTATTCCTCAGTCGGACTGGTGCGCGGCGCGGCAGAAGTGAAGAGGAGACGAGAGTATAAACGCGCGAGAGAGGGAGAGAGGGAGCGCGCGCGCGAGAGAGAGAGAGAGAGAGAGATCGTAAAAGAGAGCACGCGTCGGCTGCTACGGGACGGGATAATCGCATTTTAAGTTCTCTCTGTACTGTGTGACCCTTACATTATTTTGTCCCTCCGATAGGGACGGGTTCAGTGTTGTAACTTAGGATATAAGAAGATTAAAAAGAGCTCCGGAGCGCACAATAAGATAGAAAAACAGAAAGAGAGGGAGAGAGAGAGAGAGAAAAACAGAGCAAAGATCCGGGGATTCCGAAAGAGAGAAGAAGGGAGAATTTAGAAGGAAAAGGATAGTGTGTGATTTGTGACGCATCATACGAGAATCGTTCACAAGAAGGGAGGATCGCGAGCAGCAATCAACAAGGAACGGGGAAAAAGGGACGTTCACGAAGGACGGCTCCGAGTGTTGTAGAGATACAGTGGAGCTCCAATTTTTTATACTAGAAGAAGAATCTAACAAAAAAAAAAGCGTGAAAGAGAGAGAGCGAAAGCGAGAGCGAGAGAACGAGAGAGAAAGAGAGAAAGAGAGAGGAAGAAGGACTCGCGAGAATCAGGGAGAGTGCGAAAGGGGAGCGGGGGAGAATCGATTCTGTCCGTGTTTCCTGTGCGTGCACTTCCACGTGTGTCCTTCGATACGACGAAACTGCGTGAAACTTCAATCCCTGACCGTTCGAGATCTCCCATTCAGAAGGAGAGATCCAGGAGAGAACGGGAACAGGAAGAGCGACACGTCTGTGACACCGTCGATCGATATCCGGTCTCGAATAACATAATTCGGCCCGCGTGCACGCTCCTTTGGGGGATATGTCCTGCCGTTCCAGAGGGAGTCGTCGTCATCCGGGAGCACAATCTTCGCAACGCCGAGGACAACGTCAATCCGAGTGCCGTCCCTGCGTCCTGGACCCCGCGGCCGGCAAGCTGTCCTGACGAAAAAAGGACCGCCCCCTCAGCTCGTCCCGATCGAAGCAGCGCGATCATCGACGGACAGCAGTCATATCAGACACGCGATCGTCCTCCCCCAAGGACGAGGACCCGTCGCGAAAAAGGGTCCGCCCGGGGATGCCCGCCAGGGCCCATCAGCTACGCTCTCGTCTCGCGTACGTTCAAGGACGATGACGATCGGCCAAGACGATCGGTAAGATCCAAGCAGCGCGAGCACGCGCCAGCATCGCGGAGATGGCGGGCTACAATCATTCGAATCCACAGCGTGTCGTCTACCACGCGACCTACCCGACGCCCCTCGCCCCAAGTGAGTTTATCTGCCGCTTATGCACCCGGTGTAGAGAACCTCACAACACGACATGTCACACGTTGGATCAGGCAGCTACAGGCCTCCGATATCTTCGATTTATTGTAGGGATTGAAATTTATTTGACGAGACCTGCTTGCGGGTGATTAGAGAGAATTTAAAAATCGTTTTTAATCGTTTCTCATTTTAAGAATGCAGAGAAATCAAATTAATTTGTGAGTTTTAAAAATCTGATTTACACAGTGTCTTTTTACTAGTAAGTAGTGTGATAGTTTTCTAGCGAACTAGAAAATTAGCAGCAATATAATTCTATCTTATAGCATGTTAGTTTACTAAAAGCATCATGTAAATCAGATAAATAAGCAATAAGAAATCTCTTGCTATTTTTCACTTTTTTCTTTGTTCCAAAATTATTAAATAAGTTTCGTCAACAAGGCACATTTCCAAAGAGCTTTATTTTATTTCAGCACATTGTGATTTCAATACTTTACGTTGTAAAATTTTAAATTTTGAAGTTTATAGATGACTCCAATTTTTTTTATTAATTGTTTTATAACTTTGATTATAAATTGAAAGTTAAGTTTCCATTCAGTTTCTATTTTGGTATACTATTTAATTTACATTATTTTTTGTGGTAAGATTATGAAAAGTATACGAAATTATTACATGAGATATTCGTTCTATACTTACAATGTAGATAATGATTTTTAACTACACATCGCGACGTTAAAAAGTTCCAGACACAACTAAACTATTACTTTGCTATTACGAAATCCAGGGAATCGCGGTGACTGCACTTAACTATCATACTTATGATTGAAAGTTTAGTTAATGGCGCCTAGTTTCGGCGAGTTTCGCGAATCGATGAATATTGCATAGACCGTAGGCGAACGAAGCGCCATTAAATAAATATTAGATTGCCTTGGATAATTCCTAGCTAACTCCGGATATTTCCGGCAAATGTCTCGCCGAAGAACTTATTTTAAACTCGCTGTCACAGATCTATTTATCGGACCTGTGAAAAAGATTACATAGAAACAAGCTATTGAATGATTTTGCAGATGTATGGTACACAACACGATACGTTTATACGATGGTTTTTAATCGCGCAGATAAATTTGAAAAAAATGCACTTAATAGAAATGCACTCTTGAGCAGCAAACTTATTCCGGCAGCTAATTAAAGCGTAACAAGGTTATCATAAATTGCGCGACCATAAAAATTTCCTGGCCGTAATTGTGATTCAGATTTTATATAACACAATTTCTGACGTTTCAGAAAAATTACAGTAAGCCGCATTTGCCCTCGTTTTCTGCCGTTACTTCTCGCGATATTTTTTTTTTTTTTGGCGAATGTTTCACGTGTAAGCGCGCGTGTATGCGTCCGTGAAAGAAAGTTTCTTCTTCCGGAGAAACTGTAACAAAAGTTGTATCAAACGGATGAATTTCGTTATCTCCGCTTCAACTTTTATGGCTACTTTGGCCGTATCGATTCAATTTTACATAATGGATTGCACAAAGTATAGAAAGTGTTGGGTTACAGCAACGTAGGGGGCAAGGGAAGGGATTTATTCCGTTATTTCCGCATTTGTATTATAAAGGAAAGTGCTTCAAGGATGCACGACGCATAATATTGCCGATATATCACCCGGGAGAGCTAGCACAGATGTCCCATGCGTAATATCAATAATATCGAGAGGAAACGCAATCGCTGCGAAACGGAAGCATTTTGTCAAGCAAATAGCCGCCCGCTTGATGTCTCGATGTACCAGAAATACTAGTCTCGGATTTCAATAATTCACGGACGAAATGCACATTCACATCTCACGATATTCATAGAATGGTGAATTATCATTCTCACTTAATACGCAATACATTTTCTATGAATCTTTCTTATAAATGAGATTCAATGTTTCACTAAATTTTTACTGAATATTATAATTCTTATGCACATATATATTACAATTAATTAAGAATTCTTTTTAAAATACTTTTGAAAAGTTCTTTCCAATAATACTCGGAATAATTTTGTTAATTGCTTATATAACGCTATACATATACGTATTGTATATATATTGTATATATATATATATATATATATATATATATATATATGTATGTGTGTACAGCGTTATATAAGCACTATTAATTATTATTTTTTATACGCATATACATATATGTCTTATACAGATACATGTATAAAAAATAATAATTAATAATTATGATGTTATTTTTTAATTTTCTGAAGTTTTTATTATATTTTTCAGTCTTAAAAAAGTAATTGTGCAAAAGCATGTTAAGGTTCTCGGTAAAAGAATGTTTAAACCGTCGATTTTTATTTTGCATTCTAACGGGAGTAGGTAGTTCACGGCACGTTCGTGGAAGGTGCAATCTATTACAAGTGCTATTTTATGGCGAGCGTGCATAATATACATACATGGCTTAGATCGATGGAGCTTTTCGATCGGTTGTGTATAAACAGAGTTAATGACACATGCCACGTAACGTTAAAGCTGCCTGCGCGTTGCGAGTGTGAGTGTAAGGCAGTAGTCGGCGTAGTCGCTAATGCTCATGACACAATAACGATTCGCCTGTCGATCCGCTGTGTAAAACTGTCGATCTACACGCACGTCGACGACATCAATTCAGGTTTCCCTCGTTAAATGATGTAACGGGTTACGGAACAAATCGCTTCTGAAATTGATGCTTTCTACGATTCCACACATTTTCCAGCGGAAACAGCTATTAATTGGGATAATTTATCACGCAGATGGCGACCCGATAAAGCTTCCTGAAAATCTGGAAACCTTGCCGCGAGCTGAACACTTTCCAACCCAGAGGCATCGATGGAACACCAACGAGGTAAGTTGCCGCTCTCGTCACTTATTCGTTAGACGCGACTATTAAATTCATGGGTCAATAGAAAACACACGTGTAACCTAAATATTCAAAGATCTGTCGATGTCATATTTTTCGATCGCACGGCATCGTGTTAATGCCACGTTTTCGAATCGCAATCCCACATGCTGCACAAATCGATGTCAACTAGATCTAGATATCGATAACTAAATGTTTATTATATGCGAATAGAAATTTAAACATAAAATGATTTAAACATAAAATGAAGTTTAACAATGTATTTCAGGATATTTCGAGATAGTGTTAAAAATATATTTGATATTCATTGAAGTATCTTATAGTTACATATGCTACATTAATTTAAGAAAATTTATTTTATTTTAGTTTGTGATAAGAATACATTTTTTTGTTTGATATTTAAACATTTACTCTTATATTTGATATCTAACTATTAACCAGAGCTCTCCGATATCTGGATTATTACCATAGTAATTCGGACATGTAATATGCTTGGAATTTAACGAGCTGCATTTTGGAATGAAACGGGGCCAAAGTATCAAGTACCAATGTATCTTACGTATGGATGCACTTGCATTCTGGCTCTCGGAGCGCATCCCTCTTTGCGGCGGTCGCGTGCCCGGCCGCGAATTCCGGCGCTTGCGGACCGATCCGGTATTACCGGAATTCCGATGGACCATTCCGCGCGTCGTCCCTTTTTTTCCGGCGTAAATTTTATCGTGACCTCGTCGAGAGACCAGAGGCGGATGTATATATTTAGACAAGACTACGAGAGTAAAGTGGAAAGGTAAATAACGCGCGCTCGTTCATGTTGGTTCGCGGCGCGGTTAAGAAGAATAGATGCAGTCAATGCAGCCTTCGTTTGTGTGCATTGTACAGGGTCGACATTAAGGATGAAGCTGCTCTAATGGTCCCGGTGAAAATTTTAGGAGCGTCAAATTTCAGGAACGCGCTTAACTTATGACGTACTTTAATTTTAATGATAAATTCTTTGACACACTTATTAGAGTCGCTCTGTAACTAAAACGTTAAAACGGTAGAATACTAATGTTGATTAAGCGTAAATAATTAAAATTGAGGAGCTTCTCGCAATTTTGTAATTGTATTTTATAATATGTAGATGTGCGATATAATAACAAAATATTTTGTTTCAATTATTTCGTTTTACAAAAATATTTTTACAAAAATAGCATCAATTAGTAATGTTTATGAGAAAGATATTTTTATAATTGCCATTTTTATAATTATTTTATTTATTGTCCATTTTTTAATTAATTTTTTTGCGCCTACTGCTTTACGAAATACATGTCGGTTGCATTGATTCCCAAAATTTTATCGGGACTGCCTAAAAAGTATCGCGAGGGGCAAGGTGGGGGAGTGCTGTTTCAGCATTTCGCCTGAGGAGGTGAAATTCCTGGTCACGACCCTGGCGTTGTCGGTGTGTGCAGCGGCGCGGCTCCGCGCCGGTGTGTGCAGCGCGTCGGCAAGGGTGCACGTACCCACACTCGCGCGCTGCACACATAGAACCGGCTTGCACCGATGCAGTCCACATCGCTACACTCTGACCCAGGTCGGTCGGCCTCCGATCAATAGCTGGAGCCAGCGAGAGCTCGCAGCCGGCGGCGCTGAGCTTTTCAGTATCGCCGAACGAAACTCAATTGCGATCCCTGTGCGCGCGAAGCGACGACTATCATTGTAAATGATAAGTCGGCCCTCCTCCTGCCCACGTTCCCGTCCGCCACACGCTTGTTACCTTTTCGAATTGTCCTCCCGCCTCTCTCTCCTGTTAAGTACCGGAAATTAAAAGTTCCTGGAGGGAGGAGAGTCGTCGACACTGCCTTCTCGAGAAGGCTGACGAAGATAGAGAAAGAAAGAAAGAGAGAGAGAGAGAGAGGGGTGTCTCTCTTTATCTCCTTTTTTCCCTCTTTTGCAGTCGCACCCTGTCTTGCGCTCGCCGCCTCCACTATTTATCCTGCCATTCTATTTTTGCTTCCGAGGCAGTCGTCCACTTCTAAGCGATGAAAATTGGCTCCTTATCTGACGAATCTATTAAATTTCATATTGCCGCTGCAGCAATTTCGTTCTTTTTCCGACTTCGGTTCCCGTGTCGTTTGCAACGCCTGATAAAATGGACAGATTGGTAGCATCGATTTTATAATGGCGAAGGCGCGTTTAAGGCTGTTAGTTATTGAGAAGATATTTAAATGATATTCAAAGGCGACGAACGTGCGGCACAATGTGCATCGCTAATGAGGCCAACAAGAGAGGCGGCGCGGCCGAATACTGTGTCACAGTGCTCGCCTTATCCGGTGCCTATATTATCAAGTCCTTGGGTCCTTTGAACATTATCGATTGCGCGAGCCAACAAATTTGAGCTTTGTTGAAGAACGGGGATCACGCAAAGTGATTTATACCAATGTTGATACGCTCCCTGGAAATAGAACTGACAACTTCTTCCCTCTGGTCGACTATATTTTGTAATCATCGATTAGATAGTTTATGTGAAAGCATGCCAATTTCACAGACTAACACTCCCGGAGAAATAATAAAATTTCCTTCTCTTTTAGCGGATACTATTCAGCGATAGCATCTATCTTCTTGAAGTTTCGGAGTTATTTGAACGTTTTTATTTCTATCGCCAACCGGAGTTTCGCGTAAAGAGAGCACCCACGTACATGAAATCCCAATTTTTTTCTCTCTAACCAACTTCTGTTCAATTTCGTGCAAAGAGACTTTGACGTATATAAAATCTAAATTTTTATCTATCCAACTTCTGACGAACTTATAAATAATAACACAGTCTTGACTCTTAATATTTCCCAATTTTACTTAAGTAATTCAACATTCCGTCAGCGATGCAGATTATTGGGCATAACGTTGCTGCACGTATTCCTAAAGGAAAAGATATATTCGTCCATCCAACACCCGAAGCTCCCAATTTTTTTTTCACTCTCCTAGATTCGCGCGTTAAAGCCGGCCGGGCGCGCGAGTTCAATCTTATTTACATTCGTCAACGTCCTGCCTAGCGTTATTCCGCTGCACCACACGGGATTTATGGAAACCACTCAGCCCGGTCGATTCATTTTGCCCGCAAACCGACTCGAGCCGCGAGGAAGAAGTTCGCGGACAGGTAACGGAGTAAATTTTCACGGTCCTGGAAAGTTTATAAATCCCTTGTGCATACTGCCGTCTTGGCGAAATCTCGTGGCTTCCTCGGCGAAATCCTCCTTCAACGTGATCTTGTTTTCTCGCGCGGCTTCCTCTTGTAACGCTCTTCGTCCGCTTCTTCCTCTCGGGGTCGCGTCACTCGTCGCTGCTGCCCATTTTTCACGCGAGTTTCCGACGTACGGCATACGTGATCGTAAGTGGATCTCGCACTTTCTCATATGCCGAGGCTTCTCAGACGAAGCCGCCTGCAATCAGAGACGCTCCAAGGATGTCAGTGATTTATTATTTCACTTGTCGCGCGCGCTCATTGTAACGCGCATTCGCTACTCGTTCGAAATCGTTTGAAATCATTTTCAAAGCGAGCACAAAGATCGCGGGAATTGAAGTAATGACTGCAAGTAACTCAAGGTTACTTCTACACGCACGTTTTACGATTTGTTTGCCGTGCTTATCTCGACAGGCGCGGGCATTAAATGCGATAGATGAATGCTGCCCGCTTGCATCTTTATTCTATTGCGATAGCAATTCGCGTAACAAAATATTTTTAAATTACTTGTTTTTAATAGATATTTTTTAAATAATTTGTCTAATTGATAATACTTTAAAATTATTAAAAATTATGAATTATGATAATAATCATAATAATATCATATATAATTTAAATTATATACGTATATAATAATGTATTAAATGATGGATGTATGTATTTCGTGATTAAATTTTCGAAGAAAATATATATTGTATATGTTAAAGTATTTTTTTTTTATAATTTTTCCCGCAAGAAATTTTTGCGCTGTATAGAATATTCTGTTCTGTTTTTCCACTTTGACGCCAATAATTTCAGATTTCTGACGTGACTCTCCGTTCTTATTACCTTCGCCTGATGAAATCCCATTTGTACCGAAACGGAGCAATGCTGAATGCATACGTAGGAGGGGTATTACAGTAATAAGTTTTAGCACATACCTACAGGCGAGCGCATTTTGCACTTTTAGCATTTGTAATGTGCCTTAATGGCACTGATTTATTAAATAATCTCCTACTGCAGTGTTAAATGAGGATACCTGGATAAGAAGTCTCCTACTTTACCTAATTTACCATCCTAATTTAACGCTAGGAATACTTCTGCGCAAATTGCGGCCGCACATAAATTTTCGAAGCTTTGTTGAATCTCACTCTGGAATATATCTTACGATTGTAATAAATTCATGATTGTACAATTCTTATTAAGTCAACAATTCAAGTTGATAGTTAGTGTTAAGCACAGATTCTTTTGTCAATAAAATGTTGGAGATATTAATTTAATTTAATTTTTTCTAGTAGACTATAAACGAATAGCTTAAAAATTTCACAAGTAAAAATGAGAATGTTCGTTAATTCTTTAGTGATTTATGATTTTATCATTTTTTTTTTTAGTGCATTATACATACTTTATTCATTGACACGAAATTTATTTATATGGTCTCTGAGAATGAAGATTGCTCTTAAAACAAACATTTTCGTTAGCTTATCGATTTCCGATTGCATGCGAGAATAGAAGTGCGATCGTTAAATCGCTCGGATTCGCGAAAGTACACCGCGACGGCGGTCGTTATAATTAAGCACCGCTTTAGACCGCTTTGCCGTGCACCTTTTAATTGAAAGACGTTTCCGAGGAAACCCATTATTCGAATATATCGTGCAGTTTGTTAATTATAGCCTCGCAGTTTTATTACTGAAGTCAAGATTAACTTCGAGATAACTTTAGCATTTATATTTGTGTTATCTATAGAAATATATTAAATTTCATTTCAGAATTTACACTTATGAATTAAAAT